AACAAATCAGACTTAACCAGATTGCGCTGAACTTCGCCCTGATCGAATAAAATGGACGCTACGCTACGACAAGATAGACAAGAAACTATCTCCGATGGATGCCTGAGAAAACCATGCGCAGTTCCGTTTCGTAATCCATTGATCACTCCATGGTACAAGCGTCATCTCATCACCGGCGTGCACGAGCTGACAAGATCGGTTGCTGAAAACCTACCTCACGCAAACAAAGTACTATGTGTGTCCAAGATGCACTCGACTGCTCCGAGAGCAAATGGTTGATAACACATTTTGCTACTAGTATTCAAAAAATGATTAGAAAAGCAAAAAGTTACCATATTTTGGAAATAATGAGTTACCAACGTGATCATTTACAGAAGAATTTATATCCAAGGCAGTTTTATAAAGAGTCCACCATAACCCAATACGATCGCCTGATTTTCTAGCAATAAAAGCGGCTGGCGAGGGAGTCCAGACATGGAGCGAGAAGCAAATGGGTGGCTCGAGGAAGGGAGACTTGGCAGGGAAGTTTTTCTCGTTTGCCTTTGGTTAATTGTCATCCAGTTTTGAGGGTCAACTTATTTAGCATGCCGATTAGAATAATATGGTGAGAACTCATGCATCATAAATTTGCTTGGGATACCTCTAACACTGTATTTCTAAACACATGGCAAGGCCCAAGTCTGCTGTACATGAACAAAAATCTGCAAGATCAGGAATTTATTGCTCGCCTCTTCATCTGATCTAGATAAGGAATGCAAGGTAATCACGGTGATAGTACTTCCGCATAAAAGGCTAAAGCAGTATCTGTGATTTTTCGGACTCTTATTTTCTTCTAATCTTGCGTTGGGAGCAGAAAACCATCATTTCGACGTCAAAAATTCGCATGATTTCCTGTGAATTTTTGAATTTTACTCAATAAGAAAAAAACTTGCATATCCCCTCTTGTTTGAGCCTCGGCATGATTACAGTACTTAAATACGACCTTCTATGCCCATGCGAAGTTTTTGCGGTGAAGCTCTATGAATGGCCTAAATTCTGACTAATCTTTTTCTTTTAGTCTCAGAGGGCCTAGATAATGTTTATAGGTCCATCCAACCAAACGCTTCATGAAAGAGAGTTTCCGATCGTCCCCTCCGTCTTCTCCTTCCTCCCTCAGAACATATCCGCATATGTTGCACATCAGAAAGACGAACCTGTTCCCACTATATTGCCAGTGGACAAGATGATGTGCAGCAAGAATAGCTCAATCTGTACGCAGTGCTAGTTTGCAGGTTACAAAATAAGAACGACAATGAAATTATTCGTAATTGATACATACTCATTTCTGTCGTTCAGCTATTCAACGAGGTTTCCATGAGAGAAGCTTAGAAGAATTTCCATGCAGATGCTTCGATTTCGCAAGCCACAACTGTGCATAGTTTCGCAGTAATCACCATCAGTTTCATGCTTATGCCTCAAGAAATATGAGGTGAAACTACTCTTCTTCTATGGGGCGTTCTTTATACCTCACGCCAAGTGCTATACCAGCCTCCCCAGTAGGTGGTGCCAAAGGCTACGCTCACTGACAAACTCCTTCTACACGCGCAGTCGCCAGAATTGCCAAGACAAACTCCACATTCTTTCAAAATGTAACATTCATAGTAAAGGCTTGCACAGCCGTATTGTGATGTCATCGCTCGACGTCTATTAATGTGATATCGTCGTTCGAGTGTGCCCATGCAATGCTTCTTGACTGCCATGGTGTTGCGCTGCGCATTGTTAAACTGGGGATTGCAGACTCCGTAGACATTCGCTAGTCGTTAGTTTGAAGCGCGCTCGGTGCGTAGCTCAACGCACACACGTAAACAAATTTACTCTTCGCACCCATTAGTACTTTCGTCAAGCTTGTGTA